TTCCGAATCTCGGTTTTCTTTATCGTCGGCATCTAAGTAAGATTTATTAATCGTTTCTTCTTCTAACTGGGATTTCGCATCTTCTCGTACAATTCGCCTAATCTAAGGGAAGAATCCTACTTCTACTTTAGTAGAATAATGAATTTAGCATTAGTCGTCGTAATAGAATCTCTAGTAAAGGGTTCTATATACAGGTTCTTATCGTCGTGCTATTATACAGATTTGTCGTAGCTCTTTCTTTACGACCTCTGCGTAGGTCCTCGGCGCGTTATTAATAGAGTATAGCTCTACTACTATTCGGTAGCCTTCTCTGCCCGAGTCCTTTCGTTGCATTATATTAAACTGTTCGCGTCGTACTATATTCTTACCGCGGCAGTTCCGTACTATATAGCCTTCCTTGCTATACGTATAGCAAGTCAATCTTTCTACTTTCTTAGGCGAACTCTTGCCTTTTCTTCCTTTAATTGCTCGATCCTTCTAGGTAGCGTCTAGCTCTATTAGTTGCGCACCGTAGTAGTTGTTCCCCTTTAGTTTATCGTAGGTACTATAGTTTCGTCTATTATTGTATCTAGGAGTATAACTAGCTTTTCTAGAAGTCTTAGAATCGTAACGTCGTTCTAAAGCTCGTTCGTAGAGCCTATCGTCGAGATCGATCGTAACCTTAACTAATGTTCCTATATTATCTATTTTTCTACCGTCGCGTATAAGCTCGTCTTTAACGTTATCCTTAAGACCTCGCCGATATATTATTATAAGAGCTTCGTCGTCCTAATCCGTAAGTTAGGCGTATTCCTGAAATTTAGCGGCGTAATCGGCATATAACCCCTTCTAAGTTAAGTGTTAGATAACCCTAACTGCGGTAGTAACTTTGTTAGAAGATCTAAAGACCTTCTTTATCGCACGCTTGAGATTTTCGTAGCTTGCGAAGATTCTATCCGAATTGTCGGTCCCGTTGCTATCTAGATAGGTCCTAAGAAATAGTTTAACCTAATGCTAAGCCCTGCCTCGTATAAACGTCGTTGTAAAGACTAGCTTTAAGTTATCTTAAACCTAGTTAAACATGAAATATATATCTATCTAGCTAACCTAGGTATCGAACTTATCTCGGTCGCCGTAATAAAAGTCTAGCTTTCCGATCTTAAGAGAATCGTTTCCGGTATAGGTTCCTAGTACATTGCTAGTACTAGAGGTAGTATATCGAGTACTACCTGTCTCGCTAGAGGCGGGAGTTCCCCTTCCGACTTGTAATAAGGCACTTATCCTAAGGGCGTTTAAAGTGTTACGGTTACTCGCGATAGATCGTTAAGTAACTTCTTATTACGTACAAGCCGAGGCTTCTTTAGAGAGGCTAATACAAGCGGGAGGCAGAGACAGAATAATTAGTACAAAGGTAATTCTAATTAGTAAGTAGGTAACATAAGTTAAACGCCTCGAGCTATAAGGGCATTCCGGCGTTCCTAAATACAAAGGAGATATCTTGTCTATAGTCGTAAGCGACGTAAGCGACGCTGTCGCTCTCGACCGCTCCTATTGCTCCTAGTAAGATAGAGCGATAGCTTAGCCTACTAGTCTTAGCGTCGCTCTAAGATTATATAAGGACTCTAACTAATCAGATCCGTAACAATTATACCGAAGGTCCGCTCGACGATATTACGAAAGGAACTATACCTAAGATTAAATAACTCCTTATAATTAGCCGGCTTTATTATAGCTAGGTACTGCTCTCGTAAATAGTACCTTATACCGCGGTATAGCACTATATAAGGCGCTATATTCGAATAGCTAGTATCTGCGAGATAATATCGTCTATCCGGAGCGCTAAACCTATAGTGCGAGCGTGCGTTATTAAGAATACGGCCGTCGTATATAGAACCCTCCTACCTAGCGAGAACGAACGTAAACCTTATATTAAAGTCTACAACCGCTAGCACATTCTGCGATAGTATGCCTTTACGAGAACGGAAGGCCGCTTGTTAATCTACTAGTACGTATACTAATATATAAGAGCCGTCTAGTACGCTAACTGCGTCTTTAAAGAAAGGCTAGTATTTCCGGCCCTTTGCCTTTACCGAGAGATTATCGCTTGCTTAGGCTCTATAAACGACCTAAGGGTAGATCTACAATATAGCCGCTATAACTTTATAGATTATTCTTCTATAACTATCCGGTATATACTAGAAGTCTTCTGCTAGGTCTCGAGTGTAACTATTCGTCGCAAACGCGTACAGAAACATTACTACTTTCTGCTCTTTACTAATCTCTCGGCCTCGCCGTAGGTGCGGCGATAATAGCTAGAACAGGTACGTAAACGCGTCTAGTTGGAGCGTATATACCTATATAAGCGCTTCGTAGCATCTTCTGCTAATAATAATGCAGTAAAGGCCTCGCTACGCTTACTATCTAGATATAAAGTGTAGAAGCTAGGTTGCTAAGAAACAGCTATCTGCTATAGTAGTATCGCTAGTATTCCGAAGGTAAAGATAACGTTGCGCTTAACGATCTGCTAGCGGTAGAGAGCGTCTATTATTGCTAATAAATATAGTAAGAACCTCGATCCCTATATACCCTCGAGAAACGTATACCGTACGACGCCTCTATACGCTCGAATACCCTCCGTACGCGTCGATTCGCGCTATTCTCGCGTATAATCGACCTCGAGAGGTCGATTACAAAGCACGGTCTTTAATCCTATCGTAGAGCGCTTATTATGCTAGATTTAGCGTAGAACAAGCTACTCCGGAAGCCGCGGAGGTCTATATTCGACTAAGAAGATTACACTTAGAAAGGCACTATTAGATAGCAGTTAAATATAAGATAAGAGGCGTTATCCTATCGAGAATATTTAATAATATTAGATATTGTCTAATATCGCTTAGATTACGTACAGATTAGATTACGGACAAGATAGGCTCCTAGCTATCGAGAAGTAGGAGAAGGTTTCGTATTATTATTAGCAAGTATATAATTCACATCTTAACCAGGGCATTTTAGTCGAGCTTAGTTTATATTCGGAAAGGCGATTATTACGCGGTATAATAAGTAGCTACGAGTCGGCGTAGTGAAACTAAGACCTGCCTCTAGACTCTAGATATAGCGCCTAGCGTCGCTATCTCCTAGCCCCTTTCCGATCCGAGGCCTATTAACGACGTAATAACGCGACGACGGCTCTATATACTAACGACGACCGACGATAATAGCGACGATACGGATTAATATATCGGTCCCTATATAGCGGACGGCGCCCGCTACTTTTAGATATAATACGACGCGTTTATAATAAAGAGATTCGCTCTCCTATATTTCGAGAACGCAATACTATACCTTTCCGAATATTCGATATAGAGATTCGACGAAAATTCGAGATAACGATAACTATAGTATAGTAAACTATAGCGATAATAGCCTACTCGAGATACTTCGAAAAAGGGAATTTAAGTAAATTAATTATCTATACTCTATAAAGGTTCTAACTTCTCTATAAATAAGGAACGAAAAGGGACCTATTTCTACCTATTATCTATATAAGTACTATACTACGACCGGCTCTAGTATACTATCTATATAATAATAATACCCTTCGAAATCGGAAATCTAAGGATAACTTATAAGGAAAAGGCGACGATTTTAGTAACTATATATAACGCTTTTAGTAGATAATAATAAATATCCTATTTCTCGCTCGTAGCGGTAGACCTACTTACGATAGATAAGGCCGGTCTAGGTTACTACTTAGTATAACGAAGGCGAGGCTAATTATATTACCCTAGGCTAGGTTAGGTCGATATTTAGAATAAAATGTAGGTCTTTAGAGAGACTATAAGGCGACTCTAAAGAGGATTTTAGATAATATCTATTTCCTTTATTCGGGATACTTACGGAGTTATTACTATTCTACGTCTTACGCGATACTTCTATATAGTAGAGTCTAGTATAGCGTTAAATGCGACAGCTAGCAGTTACTAAGCCGCACTCGGGTTAGCCGAGGAACGGACTATAAATGGAATTAATAATAATAATAAATAAAAAGCATATAATTACTAGACTAGTATTAACAGCGTGGTGCCTGAGTACTCCCCGGCGGCCTCGCAAGCTTCAGCGTTGCTTGCTCGCCGTAGCATTTCCGTGCAAAGAGCCGAAACTGTTCAGCATGGGCCCGTCTGTCTGTCCATGTGTGCATATGATGCGCTGACACAGCCCTGCGGTCAGCCGTCGAGGGTCTGAGATGGAGAATCCAAGTTCATCAGACCCAGACCGCCATTAGCAGGGGCGAATGCGCTTCAGTAAGAAGGCAATGTTACGCGCGCTACCAGATACCGCGATACCACGAGGAAGGAAACCCTGAGGGTTTCAATGACTTGCACTACACCCATTTGGAGAATCTGGGGACACCGATCGAATGAAACGGCAAGTAGTGGTCGGAGATGACCAAGAACAAGGCATTTGTGGATGATTGATCGGAACTCGCGGCGTGTACTAAATAGTTGGCAGGAACGACTTCCGTTTCGTTGACCTGGCACCGCGTTCACCTCGGGGCAGGCCAGTCTAGCACATGAACACAGTGTTCGGTCAAATCGTGCAGATCGTGGCCCAGAACAATGGCTCGCGTTCCATGCGGCTTGTGTTTGAGCTACTCGACGAGGGCACCAAAGTAGGTACCCCGTTCGTTAACTCGTTGCCTGTCGGCGTTCGTCGGCAAAACTAGGATTGTGGTCCACTTCTCATACAAATTCTGTCGGTGCGTACTTATGCAAAGCGGATCTGACCAACCAGACCGCTCAGATCTTATACAACAGTTATTCGGACTTAATTAACCATAGGCGGTTGAAGGGATGAAAGCTGGAATCTTGATAGGTCGTCTGCGCACTGGCATTTGCCGACTGCCGGAATACGCTCGTCCGTCGGCAGAAGGTACTAAAATGTTGCCAGTGGCGTAAAAGAAAGAGCCAGAGCCCGCGGAGAAATGCATGGGCTCTTGTCATCATCTCCGGTGAGGTCCATTATTACGCTTGGATGCCGCTTGCCAGCGATGCTGGTCTGCGGCGTAGGTCGCTATGCTGGACAGCATCTCATCAAGGTCCATCTCGGAATTATCGTCCCCTCCTGTTGAGTATTGTGCGCGCATGAACTTGGTTGCTCTGCGCAAAGAACTACGTTCTCTCTCTTGCAAAACGTTTCCCTGATCCATATGCTGTTCATGGCTGCGATGCTTGTAAAGCAATCCCCGCTTCCCGTTTGCTTCCCAACTCGAGCTCAAGAGTCTACCACTTGCCGCACTTGATGCTGCGCGTGGCAAGGATGACTTCTTCTTGCTGGCATTGGCTGTCAGGGCTTTTTCGTTTTGCGTGCTTACCAGGTTCCTTTGCTGGGAGCCTGCAGCATCCAGACCTGGCTCATCCCCGGCTCCAGAGACTTGTGCTACATCCTGGTCGCTGGCGGCCGCCCCCCTCTTGCTATCTGTAACCGAAGATGCGGCGGCAATTTTAAGATGATCCATTGGCTCTATGTGTCGAGACTCTGCAATGCCGTAGCCGTTCTCTTTGCCAGCAGCGCGTACGACCTCTTTGCGGTGGCGATGCTTCGGGCCACACTCTTCTCCCAGAGCTTCAGGCGATCTCATTTCCTTCGTCACAGCATTCACTTCAGTTGCGCCAAGCGGCTTTCGCGGTGAGGCAGCATTTCCCTGCCACGCGCGCTCAGAGTCTTTGAATCCGGTCTCGGCTCCCACAGTCCTTTCATGAATTTTGCAAGACGAACCCGGGATTTTCAGCTGGTTTGACGCCCTGGCACTTGGAGCAATTCTGCGCTGTCTCTTTTTGATGGACTCAGCCGTCGGTTCGCGTCGCTTGCTATCAACTGGCAACTCTTCTTCGATGAAGACTTCCAACATTTTACTCATAGCACTCGTCGCGGCTTGTCTTCTGGGTCGCGCTGTCAGTCTTCCAGTGGCTGCTGACTTCGAAGGTTGCTCGCCCTGCAGTTCTTGCGAAAGGGGCGGCACAGTTGAGGAATAATTGGCCGTAGGTTCTTCTGATTTCGCGCTTGCAGAGGTTTGATCCAATGCTGCATCGTCGGCGGTCGTTGCAACGAGCTTTCTGGGTCTTCCTCTTTTCTTCACGGGTAGATTGGTTGTTTTGGCAACTTGGTCCCGAGTCGCCAGAGGCTCCTCGTTCGGACTCAATGAAGCAATCTTTCTCGGTCGCCCGCGCTTTTTCTTGAGCGGTGCTGGGGGATCTTCTATATCTGCAACCGCCGCAGGAAGACCGGGCGCGATTGCCACCGGATCCGTAACTGTGAACTCGTCTCTTGCGCAAGCCCTCTTGGGCCTCCCACGTTTCTTCGCGACAGGTCTAGTCTCCACGAAGCTTTCATCTGGCTGCACCTCCGGCAACTTATCTTTCTCTTCCAAAAGGGCATTGAACCTACGTCGGGAACGTGAGGTGGCTTTCGATTGCAGCTCCCGTACACTCTCCTCTTTTGCTGCTAGTACTTGGGTATGGTCTACAACGTAGTCATTTTCTCTTCCATTCTCACGGCAGACCTTTCGACGCTTCGTAGGAGGCTCAATGGCAGGTGATTGGTCAACCACTTGTTGTGCGGGCAAGTCGAGAGGGAGACCAAGAACGAAGCCGAAGCTTGTGGTCAGGTTTCGTGCGCCGGCGCCTCGTTGTCTTTGTAGATGCCGCTCGTTCCTGTTATGCTTGGGAGATGATGGAGTACTCATGCTGCCGTTGTTGATATCTGGGCAAATGTTGTTGTTGACGAAGGTCCAAGGGCGGTTTACTGCCAATTTAGGTCAAGCTGACTCGGGAGTCGGGACCACCCACCATCCCCCCAATACCATCAAAATTTGACACGGCTGAAGTGATTCGACAACTTAGGTAAATTTACAATTCTTCCTTCGCTTTCGAGATGCAAAGCACACTGTACCACTATGAACCCCATAGGCGGCGCAGTGTGTCGCCAATCGTCTCCTTACCACGTTCTCGTCGCTCTTCCCGGTGTCGCTTCTCCGTCTCGATGTTCTCGGCTATTCGTTCAGCATACTCCATTTGACTGCGAGCTTCGGCAGCAATGAGCTGTAATTCGAGCTCCTTCTCGCGAGGCGGTAGGCCTTCAATTCGTTTCTTGATTTCATCTTGCTTCTGCGGGGTGTAAGAACTGAGGTTTGTAGACAAGCCCATCTCTAGTGCTCGCTGTCTTGACCGAGCCCATGAACTGTCTGGGCCAAGTGCCTTCATCGTTTTGTCTGGGTCGATAAGCAAAGGCAGCTCTGCCTCTTCTCTGCCTTGCTTGGCGGCCTCTTGCTGGACGCGCTCGTGCTCGAGCATCTCGTGATAAAGCTTATCAGCATGCATCTGTATCTTCTCTTCCTCCTCTGCGCTTTGCTGAACCGACAGATAACCCAGGGCAGACAGGAATCGAGCTTGCATGGTGTAGCACCTGTTGAAATCTTTGCCCTCCGCTCGGCACATGCTCATCTTCTTCCACAGAGAGCCATTTGTCAGGCAATCTTTCTCAGCCAGCTGGTATTCCACACAATTCTCCAGCGCAGCACGGCCGATCTCTGCCTTGCGATTTTTGTATTCCGAGATTACGTCCGCGAGTCGGTCTTGATCTGTCTTGCCTGCTCCTTCTACCTCTGTCTGAGGTCGATAGTTCTTCCAAAGATGTGCATAGCGCCCATCTTGAAACAATGATTCTGTAGGTACCGAGGGTCGGTGCTCGGTGGTAGTGTCCTGGTTCTTGAAGCCCACACCGGCAGAGTTCAAGCCCAACTGTGATCTGTATGTGTTTGGCGCTGCATCCGTGGATTGCGGTATAGGCGCAGATGTGGAAGCAGTCTCCGCTGGACCTTCGGCTTGGTTTGAGGGTGATTCCTTGTCGAGAAAGTCACGGAGACGAGGATCCAGCTTATTGTATGGGTCGTTGGTGGAGTCGCCGGCGCCTGACCAGCTTCCAAACCAGCCCATTTTCGCGATTTTGCGCACGGCGATACAAGCGCTGATAAAGTGTGTTGTGAAATTGTAGTCTTGTCTACAGCTCGGGAATGGCGAGAAGGTTGGCCGCAAGCTGGAGATGCTCAAGCCGCCTTCCTTGTCCACGTGCACCAATCTTCCACGACACACTTGATCCCTTACGACGGCGCATTGTGGTCTCACTCCTCATCGAAGATTTGTTTGACAGACAGCACGCCGCGTTGCAGTTGAGTGATACGCACATTGAGTCGGTACAGCCAGTCGTCACGCATCCATCACTGCCTTGTCAGTAGTCCAAGCACGCAACCATCGAGTACGCTGGGTGAAGCGATTAGTGCACATGACAATCTGACAGCAAACGTAGCATCAATTGTATAAGCTATTGTATGACACGGTCCACCCTTCTTCAGGCTCAATGGGTGAAGCAAGCACAGTTATCCGCGAATAGTAGAATATAAGTCAGTCACAAGCGAGGCATGATGGTCTTCACCGAATTGTGGGTCGGCCCGACACATGCATGATTGCGCGATGCTTGCGATGAACAGAACTCTGTAGATCCCTGCTCAGGAACAGGACCGACGCATTGTATACTGCCTTGCGAAAGAGAATCGAGGTCGCGAATGCAATGTGAGAAGAGCCGCGGGACGGCAAGCGAGATGGCGGAGAAGTTTTCGAGAAGAATGGCAGCGGCAACGGCAACGGCAACGGCAACGGCAACCTGACTTCCGATTCAGCAAGCAGGAGCGGAGCGGTGCCTTTGGACGAACACCCATTCGCCATTACTGTTTGCCATCAATGTCCGCTTGGTTCCCTTTCCCTTTCCCTTTCCCACCTTGCGGCCTGCGCTTTCCATCACAGTTCTGAGATCCATAATGCACGGACGTCCATCAAGGTGCTCAAGATGCTTTCTTTCAGCAGCCTTATACATGCAACCTTCCTTCCTTTGCCAATAGACAAAGACACACGATCGCTACCAAGACAACATGTCGGAATGCGAGACAGGCAATGACTTCGACGGACGCGTGGGCGTGCGCGTCAGCGCAATCTTTGTGATACTCGTCGGCAGTGCCCTTGGCGCCATCTTTCCGGTAGGCAAGACCAGCTACTTGAACTGATCTCGAGCCAACACTGACAATGCCCAGGTATACGCGGCAAGACACAGAGACGCAGGTGTTCCTGAGTGGGCTTTCTTGTAAGTAGAGATCGGCAGAAGACTCGGAACACTGCTAATGAGAGACCAGCTTCGCCAAGTATTTCGGCAGCGGAGTCATTGTGGCCACAGCTTTCATTCACCTCCTGTCGCCAGCGTACGAGGCACTATCCAACGAGTGCCTCACAGGACCGATTACCGAGTATGACTGGGTTGCTGGCATTTGTCTTATGACGGTGTTTGCTCTGTTCTTCGTCGAACTTATGACCATGTAAGCAAGCAGAGAGTGCCAGGCAACCGCATCTGAGACGTAGGCTGACCTCGAAATGTTCGTCTACCCAGGCGCTTTGCAAAGTTCGGCCATTCACATTCTCATGGTGATCCCCATGAGCATGAAGAAAGCCACGAGATCCGCGACGCCCAACGTCCAAGGCGAAGCCCAGCGCTGGAACCCAAGACGAAGGACGCTTATTATACGGACGAGCCGTCGGAACCGTCCCTTGAGCCTTCACCAGAGCGCTCCTCATCGCAGCATGAAGGCCGCTGTCCAACAAGTCCTTACGTGCCGGGTGATGATCATCTTTCGCATTCAAGAGACCACCCAAACTCTGCCGGTATTGTCAAACAAGCAAACGGTCGTGCTAGGACCTTCAACCCCGAAAGTTATGCCGCCCAGATGACAGCAATATTCATCCTGGAATTTGGTGTATGCAATGGTCCCCTTGCACACCCTTGCACTTTGGCTAATATATGCGATAGGTTATCTTTCACTCCATCTTCATTGGCCTTACACTGGCTGTTTCAGGCGCCGAATTCGTCACTCTGTACATAGTGCTGACTTTCCATCAGACCTTTGAAGGTCTTGCGCTGGGCTCTCGTCTTGGGAGCATTCAATGGCCGAGGGACCGACGGTGGACACCATACATTATGGGTCTTGCTTATGCTCTTTCGACCCCGATTGCCATAGCGATTGGCATCGGTGTGCGCCAGACATTCAATCCGGAGAGTCAGACGACTCTGATTGTCAACGGGATCTTTGATTCTATCTCGGCAGGCATTCTGATCTACACTGGTTTGGTTGAGCTAATGGCACATGAATTCATGTTCTCGTCGCACATGCAGACGGCGCCTTTGAAGGAAGTCCTTACGGCCGTTGTCTGGATGGTTCTTGGGGCTCTTCTAATGGCTATTCTCGGTAAATGGGCTTGAAAGATGACACTCATGATTGCATGTACAAAAGATTATAGACCTAGACGAGATGACGATCGTGCGACATTTTGCTGGCTCGCGCGTCCGCGGTTCCTGCCGCGCACTCTCTTTGAAAGTTTGAAGCGGATTTGGGGATTTTATAGATTTGAACCCAAATTGAATTCGTATCTCCGTCCCACTTGCCCAGCTATTTCGGAATGAAACAATGCCAATTGTATCACCCGGGCGGTTCTTACATTCACCTCATCTGGGAAAGCTCCAGCTCACAGGCACTACAGTAGTGGTGCAGCTGAAAGAGGGAAGTGCTCTTGAACTCCTCCTACTGTGCCTGCTTTAGCGAATGTGCTCATTGTCTTTGCCATGGTTTAGGTCTGAAAAGTCCGTTCAAAGATAATGGAAGGCCACGAGCGCATGTCGTTCATGATGGCCATACATGACGCGTCCATCACCTCTCCGAGACAAAACCAGGTCTGAGATACTCATAGTTGTTGATTGTTGATTCCTGTAATCACAAAATTACTCACAATCACAGTGATTGTGGTAGTGATTACTGAAATTTTGATTGTGATTATAATCACATAATCACTACTCAATAGCGAAGAAGATACCGCTGGCCTGCCGTTGGTGTTTCTTCTCGAAGGATATATATAGACAAGTATAGAGCTCAATCCTAGATGCTAAGAAGGAACCTATTACCCTACCTTTTAGCCTTATTATCTTTAAGTCTATAAGGTGGGTCCAGATTTCTGCTTTCTCGGCCTGGAACAACCCATTCCGGGGCATAGTAATTTTATGATTGTAATTTGTGATTAATCACTCACAATCAGTTGTGATTGTAATAATGAGCTGGTGATTGTGATTAATCAACAATCAACAGCTATGGAGATACTTAAACCATTGAGAACAGAAGACGGAGGTATTCTACGGATTACTAGCCAAAGTTTGTTATATCCGGCGGCACGAGCAGCGTTTTAGATTCCTCAACACGGGAAGCTGTTTGTCCCGGCGGAGCAACCACATCCCGTCCATGCCTAGATCCGCAGTATCATACCATACTATGATGGTGAGCTTTCCTATTACTACGTCTTGGGCACTTCAAAAGCAGTGTCTCTGCTACCGTTCCAACATCCTCTACAGTATATGATCTTGACAGCACGACTCACTGCCTCTAAGCTCGACACTGGACTCTGCGAATCACAAACAAACACTAGAAAGATTGCGATATGGGTTTCGCCCATCTGCCGCAATTCTTCTACAGCCAATTCGCAGTCACACCTCCAAAGCCGACAAAAGACTGCACCGGCAAGACTGTCATCATCACTGGCGCAAATGTGGGTCTTGGGAAGGAAGCCGCTCGCCACTATGTTCGTCTGAACGCAGAGAGAGTCATAATCGCCTGCCGGAGCTCAGAGAAAGGCGAGGCAGCCAAACAAGACATTGAACAATCCACTGGGCGGAAAGGCGCGATTGAAGTCTGGCAACTGGACTTGGCGAGTTACGAGAGCGTCAAGCAGTTTGCCAAAAGAGTCAATACACTTCCACGTGTTGATATCATGATTGAAAATGCTGGTGAGTACCTTGTGTGTTTTTGACAATGCTATATCTTTAGGGAGGCTGACTCGACGAAAGGCATCTCAACAGCGAAGTATTCTCTGGCAGAAGACAACGAAAGCACAATCACAGTCAACGTTGTCTCAACATTTCTCCTCGCACTCCTTGTGATCCCAAAACTCCGCGAAACAGCATCGAAATACAACATCCTCCCCACACTCACAATTGTCAGCTCGGAAGTTCACCACTTCACCTCCTTCCCAGAACGAAAGGCCTCATCCATCTTCTCGACTTTGAATTCGAAAGAAGAAGCCCGAATGGCCGATCGCTATAATGTCAGCAAATTCCTCGAAGTCGTCAGTATTCGCGAGATTGTGAAGGAGAACCCGAATTTGGGCGAGCAGTTGACACTGAACTTTGTCAATCCTGGTTGGTGTCATAGCGAGTTGATGAGGGAAATCTCGAATCATATCATCAGGCTTATTCAACTTATCATGTGCCGAACTACAGAAGTCGGCAGCCGTACGCTGGTCGATGCTGGCTTGAGAGGTCAGGAGTCTCATGGCAAGTATCTGAGTGATTGTCGGGTAGAGAAATGCTCGGTACTAGTGGAAGGTCGTGAAGGTCCAGAAATTCAGAAACGAGTTTGGGGCGAGTTACGTGAAAAGCTGGAGAAGATTCAGCCGGGCGTCACAAAAGTGTTGAGTGCGTGATTGGGTCGGCTTCAACTCAGAAATACACCGCAGGTGTTTTCGAGCCAAGACGAGAGATGGTGCATTCAGCAGGCAAGGATTTCCCAGACCAAGAATGTCTTCAGAGTCAAATGTGGTGTGTAGTGTATGATCACGACAGCGAATGTCCGGAGGAGCACACTTTACTGCTTGGAACGAGCTGTCTCCTTGAACTCTTTCCAGCCAGGAGCATCTCTGCCGTCCGCGTCGAAGTCGCTGTCTTCAACTATTTCGATTACCCTCACTTTCCACTTACCGAGCCTCAGAATCAGTAGCCCATCAACCACAAGATCCGGGACTTCCGACGCCTTCTGCTCTTTAATCTGTACGAACTCCAATTGGCCCTCATTGCTGATGGTGGACTGACGTGAAGCCGTCGCAACATATGCACCATTGTTGCCAATTAATCGCGCGCCTTCGGACTTTGTTCCCACCAGGCCAGCATGGTATAAGATCCTGGAGAAAGGAGTATTGTAGACCAAGGATTTAGGTAGCTTCGTATGCTTTGCAGCATTGTTTGCGGATGCCAACCCATCCTCGCTCTCCGACGATCGACCAAGAGAGGCAAGTGTCGGGGCTCGAAGCGATTCATGCTCGGATCGTGTCTTTGCTGCTTCCTCAGCACCATGCACCAGCTGCAGTACTTCGCTCGCAAGGAGATGTTGAGCTCTACGTTGTCCAGGATCGCTACGATGGGCTTCCATTACTGTATTGATCTCTGTGGATGGCACAAAGGTGAATAACTTGAGGTAGCGCTCGACGTCATTGTCTGCAGAGCGAAGAAGAAAGCCATAAAGATCGAACGGGCTCGTCATGCTTCGATCTAGCCAAACGGCATTGCCGGCACTTTTGCCAAACTTCTCCCCGCTACTTGTCTTCAGAAGTGGTACTGTGAGACCCATTGGCGATAGATGGTCTTTCAAGCGTCCTTCTCGATCCAGCCATTGCCTCTGTTGTTCAGGCTGCGAAGCATACTGCGCGATGTGTTTCACGGCGTCGATTCCAGCGATGATATTCCCGTACTGATCGCCACCGCCAATCTGTATCTGGACCGAGCGATCCTGGTACATCTGCCACCAATCCCATGCCTGGAGCAGAGGATATGTAAACTCTGAGTAGGACATACCATCGCCTTTTTCCATCTTATTCTTGACGCTGATGAGCTCGTCAGTTCACGCGTAATGGAAGCTCTGCGAATCATACTTACGTATCTCTGCTCAGCATTGCGCCCAATCTGGCACCATTTCCCATCATTCTTAGGAACGTGAGAATGTTTAGGTTGTCCAGCCACTCAGCATTATTCAATATGTCTCTTTTGCCAACACTGGTGCCGATTCTACGCCTTGCGCCATACTTGATCACGCTCTCCCACAAATTGCCGACCTGAGCATTCAGGCTGCGGAAATTGGAATCGATCACATGCTCTGCGGTGTTTGCCCTCGATGTGAGGCGTCCACTCGGATCTCCGACTTTTGCAGTAGCTCCGCCGACCAGGCTAACAGTGTAGTGGCCATGGTGATAGAGCCAAAAGAGCACCATTAACGGAAGTAGATGGCCCAAGTGGAGCGAAGGAGCTGTCGGATCGATGCCTGCGTAGAAGCCCGTCTTCCTGGCCTCCAGGAGGTTTTCGAGAGTTGCGCGGTCCCTGTGACATTCTCAGACGGCGATTCGACTGCTACGGGCCAGCTGGCCTACCCGGCGATCTGATTGACAAGGCCTCGTTCTTCGAGGATGCGCAACACGCTCATGCCTTGGCGCAAATGTCGCGAAGTCGAGAAGGGTCGTTGTGTGGACAGCGTCGGCAGCCGCAGCCGCAGCCGCAGCGCGCATCGTGGGCAGACGTACGCTGAGCCCGACACGAGACGACTCAGCAGCGTTCGTGCCATGGCGAGCGATGGGCTGCAACGTGCAACTTCGACGTCAAGATGTGTGTGCAGAGCTCAGACTTTCGCGAGCAGTAGAATAGACTTCGGGGACCAGCTCCGACGATCCGAGCCAATTTGCAGGGGTCCGCGTCAACGCGTGCCGCGACCGCGACCGCGACCGCGTCTCCATCGACGACTCCCACGACTGAGGCTTCTCGTCCCAATGCATCTGCACTCCATCTAGCTTGACTTCATCGCCATTGCAGTTCTCGCGTCGACTCCATAGACTCAATCTGACGCTATGGCTCGTGCGGATGGCAGCCTGTCTGCTACTCCTCGGGCCACCCTGAAGAAGAGCACTTCCTCCAGCCAGAAGCAGTCGAGCATTGCCGGTTTCTTCAAGAAGCAAGCTGGCCCAGCGCCGCAGACCAGCACACCGGCGAAACGCGCTTCGGATAGCCATGTGCCCCAGGTCGAGCAGACGTCTAGTAGTCCTGCTGCACCAGGCTCCAGTCCACGCGCCGCTTCTCAACAGAGTTCTGTCATCGACCCCAGAAACAAGGAGAATGGTGCGCATGATCAGAGATCTATGGCTCACGATTCGTTCTGCACTGACAAACTGATAGAAACGCCAGGCACGGTCTTCTCGAGCCCGTCGCGACACGCCAAGAAGAAGGTCAACTATGCTGAATCCGACGATGACGATGACGATGACGCTCCGTTCAAGCCAGTTTCTGGCAATGGACGCGCTGCTAAGCGGCGTCGGATCAGTGTCAAAGACGACTCGGATGATGACGAGTTCGGTCTCGATGCCGCCACCCTAGCCGCGATGGAGATCGATGAAGGTACGCTTGTTCTCGCTTTTGGTGTGATATATTTACTAGACGTGTGCAGTTGTCTTTTCCAGCTCTCGATACCTAATGTCGAACCCTGCAAAGACTAGCTCTGTAGCTGACAAGATGACGGTAGAAATGGACGACTTCGTCGTTGATGACGACCTTGAGGATGACGAGAAGCCTAAGAAGCCTAAGAAGAAGGCTTCAGCCTCGTCCTCAGCAAAAGCATCAAATCACAGCTCCGTCAGATCGCCTTCACCTTCGCCGTTCAGAGAAGCCAGTGAGGAGGCTCCAACAAAGTCGACTGCCCAACAATGGACCTTTGATCCGGATGCACCACCATCGACCGAGCCAAGGAAGCGTCCGACTGTCGTAAAATCGACGAGCAATGGCCCGCCAAAGAAGCAGAAGGCCCACGCAACGGATCCTGCAGATCGGTATCCTTGGTTAGCTGCCATTCAAGATGCTGACCGACATACTCCTGATCACCCAGACTATGATCCTCGGACACTCTATGTTCCACCTGGAGCGTGGAACAACTTCTCGCCATTCGAGAAGCAGTATTGGGAGATCAAGTGCAAGTTCTGGGACACGATCGTCTTTTTCAAGAAAGGCAAATTCTACGAGCTTTACGAGAATGATGCTACCATCGGCCACCAGCTGTTCGATCTAAAGCTCACTGATCGAGTCAACATGCGAATGGTTGGCGTGCCGGAGGCTAGTCTCGATCACTGGGCAAATCAGTTCGTGGCAAAAGGATTCAAGATCGCCAGGGTTGATCAAATGGAGACAGCACTTGGCAAAGACATGCGAGAACGCGACCAGAAAGGTGCAGCAAAGAAGAAAGAAGAGAAGGTAATCCGCAGAGAACTTGCGTCGGTATTGACAGCCGGTACTCTGGTGGAAGGCAGCATGCTTCAAGACGACATGGCCACTTATTGTGCTGCTATCAAGGAGACCGAGAGCGAAGGCAAGCCTGCCTTCGGTATTGCCTTCGTTGACACCGCTACGGCGCAATTTCATCTTGCGGAGTGGGTCGACGATGCAGACATGACCCGCTTCGAAACATTTGTCGCGCAGACACGTCCTGGAGAGCTCATCCTCGAAAAAGGCTGCATCTCTGCAAGAGCGCTTCGAATACTTAAGAACAACACTCCTCCCACAACAATCTGGAACTATCTCAAGCCGGACAAGGAGTTCCTGAGCGCCGACAAGACTCGCATGAAAATGAATGGAGAAGCATACTTCGTGAAGTCTGAAGACGACGAAGCAGCTGACAGTTGGCCGAAGGTCCTGCGCGAAGCTGAGACAAAGGAGAACACTTTCTCTGCCTATGGCGCCCTCGTATGGTACTTGAGCATGCTCAAGATCGAACGAGACTTGATTACCTGTGCCAACTTTTCCTGGTACAATCCCATACGCAAAGCTTCCAGCTTGGTCCTTGACGGCCAGAGCCTGATCAACCTGGAAATCTTCGCCAATACCTTCGATGGTAGCACCGAAGGCACGCTCTTCACAATGCTCAACCGATGTGTCACTCCATCTGGCAAGCGCACGTTGCGGCAGTGGGTATGCCATCCACTTGCTGATGCAAGAAAGATCAATGAACGCTTTGATGCTGTGGATGCTCTCAACGCCGACGGCACTGTCATGGATAGGTTCACTGCATCATTGTCGCGCCTGCCTGATCTCGAGAGATTGATTTCTCGCGTGCATGCAGGGCGCTGCAAAGTGCAGGACTTTGTCAAAGTGCTTGAAGGCTTCGAACAGATCGAGTACACAATGTCCCTCCTCAGCTCGTTTGGTGACGGCGAGGGTCTTCTTGGACAGCTTATCTCAGCTATGCCAAACCTGCAGACACCTTTGAACCACTGGAAGGAAGCCTTCGACCGCAAGCAAGCAAAGGAACAAGGACTGCTCATTCCTCAGCCTGGTGTCGAGGACGATTTTGACGAAAGTCAAGAGCGCGTGGACGGCGTCGAGAAAGAGCTTAACAAGCTGTTGCAACGAGCAAGAAAGGACCTAGGATCCAGTGCCATCAAATTTACCGATAATGGAAAGGAGATCTATCAGCTTGAGGTACCCATCAAGGTTAAGGGTAACATCCCAAAAAACTGGAAGCAGATGTCTGCGACGAAGCAGTGCAAGCGGTGGTACTCACCTGAATTGGAAGGACTGGTACAGGATCTTAAGGAGGCTCAGGAAATGCATGCCCAAGTCGTCAAGGCATTGGCAGGTCGCTTCTTCGCCCGTTTTGATGAGGACTATACCACCTGGCTTGCAGCCATCAAGATCATTGGTCAGCTTGACTGCCTGATATCGCTTGCAAAGGCCTCCTCTTCACTTGGATCGCCGTCTTGCCGGCCCGAATTCATTGAAGACGACCACGCTCGCAGCGTGCTCGAATTCCAAACACTCCGCCACCCATGCATCGAAACTACGACGAACTTCATCCCCAACGACATTGCTCTTGGCGGTGACCAGGCCTCCATCACTTTGCTTACAGGTGCCAATGCCGCTGGTAAATCGACCATTTTGCGCATGACTTGCATTGCAGTCATCCTTGCCCAGATCGGCTGCTACGTGCCCTGCGAGTCCGCTCGCATGACACCTGTCGACCGAATCATGTCTCGCCTGGGAGCTCACGATAATATTTTTGCCGGGCAAAGCACCTTCATGGTTGAGCTCAGCGAAACCAAGAAGATTCTGGCAGAAGCTACACCGCGCTCTCTGGTCATCCTGGACGAACTTGGACGTGGAACAAGCAGTTACGACGGCGTTGCCGTTGCTCAAGCCGTGCTCCATCATATAGCCACCCATGTTGGCTCTCTCGGATACTTCGCCACGCATTATCATTCTCTCGCAGCGGAGTTCCAGAAGCATCCTGAAGTCATCGCGAAGCGTATGGCTGTCAAGGTTGATGATGATATTCGCGATGTGACGTTCTTATATCACCTCGAAGATGGTGTGGCAGAGGGCAGCTATGGTATGCATTGTGCTGCCATGTGTGGAATACCTGACAAGGTCATCACACGTGCTGAGCAAGCTGCTGAGAACTGGGAGCATACTGGAAGGATCAAGGAGAGCCTCGAGAAAGCGATGGAGAGTAGCTGGTTGCCACTTGGTCTGCTGAGTGATGTCAGCTGGCTGCTCAAAGAGCGCTCCGAGGAGGATGAGAATATTTCTGACGGAAGTTTGGAAGTGTTGAGGAAAGCCATTGCGGCGTTGTAGGTGGGCTCTGCTGAGGAAGTGTGGTCGCTTTGTGGATGCCATTTGCTCTAGCAATATGTATAGTGTTTCGTCGCGTCCGGAGCATGTTGGCTTCACGGCTATATGTAGACATAATGCCATAGATTCATCGCCATACCGTTTTCCCTCTTGGAAGACACGTGCTCATCTTCTGCCGTCATTGACCTGACCAACAACTTCTATGGTCTCTACTTTCTGTGAAAATGACGAGTCTTTTTCGTGGCCCGGACTTAAGCATGCTGAACCTCTATGTGTAGCTGAATTGCTACTACACATCTTCAGCGCTGTCCAGCCAATCTTCTCCCCTGCACTTCAGTCAAGGCTCTGCTTCCGCTGACGAATGCAACAACCCCCAGTATCCCGGCAGCTGGCAGCGTCTGAAACAGGTTCCAGCTAGTGTAGTACAGGAAGAACACGCCTTCCATAGCCACGATACTACCGAAGAACAATCCATGCGCGACTGGGTTCGCACCGAGTGCTTTACCCATATGCTCCACGTTCCCTCCCAGCAGTACCCATCCTCCTAGCAGAACTGGAACCGTCGCGAGGATTGCGAGCGTAAAGAAGAGCGAGACTACGGTCGGCGGAGAACGAGGGTCAGCTTTGAAGATGTGGTGGATCTCTGGTTTGGCAGTGTAGCGCTCGGGTGGAGCAGGCACGGCTTGTGCTGGGGTCGTGTCATGTTGAATCTTGATCTGGAATGCTGGGCCAGAGTAGGGTGTAGAGGATCCAAAGGAGGCGAGGACTACGGAGGCCTGAATGGGCTTTGAGGTAGTGAGGAATTGGAAGGGGAGATCTTTTTGGGACTGTGCGAGTAAATTCGTCAGCTTGCGTGTGTGAATGCACAAATCGATTTTGGGGCTCATGTGCATACGATGTCGACTTTCGCTTTGCCACTATCCTTGACGCTGAATGCGAATGACTCTTCCAGTCCAGTCTCTTCTTCTCTAAGTGTCAAGAAAGCCTGATGCGGTCTCTTCGCGGCCTTGCCCTCTTGTGCGGTAAGGACAACTTTGAGTGTAGACGACGCTGGCAAGAGAACAGGGACACCGAGAGGGTTGGTCGGCGAGAAGCTGTCGTGGCCGCGGTTAGCAGAAACTCTTGAGGTGCATCACATTGGCTGTGTGCATTGCTTGCTACGCACCTCTGCTTGGCTCCCTCCGCAGCCTTTCCCGTGACGGTCAACGACGCTGCATCGAACGTCCATGCACTTGCTGCCTCAACAGCGGCACAGAGACCTGCAGCGACGACGCCAATGCTTTGCAGAACCCTCATGATGATGCCTGAACCACGAATGCTTCACGTTCACGAGCTTCAGAATGTCGAAAGCTGGCCCGACGGGATCTGCCGGCGCTAGTGCTCAGTAGCTGCTTCAGGAAGATGTGGAGCAGGAGGAGGACGGGAGGGGAGCAGAGGATCAAAGTAGCCTGGAGCAGATGCATGTGACAATTGCTGTTGCGACACATTCAGAACCGAGTGCATTCGATCAGCCGCCTCTGCATTCGTGTCTCAGGCAGAGGATTGCTCATCTGCGGCAACCCGGTGAGTGTTTGTCACTTTCACAAGCACTAGCCCAGAAAACTGATGGTCTCCTTTCGCGATCAGTCCATCGCCCATCGCCCTTTCTCCAATCTGGTGCATGCCTCTTTGGTACATCTTCTTTCGCCATCATCTAGAATTTAGGTCGGCGTATGCTTCATCTCGTCGCACGCCAACACACGCTCGGTTCCACGCTGGCAGCGACAGGCCACAACATTCACTTATGCGCGCCGGCCATTGTTGACTCTGAGAGGCGCCTGACAGCGGGACCCACTTTTTTTTCTAGGCGCAACCTCAAACCTCAACTCCGTCACAAACTTTTCCTTTTACACCACCGCCGCCATCCGCATACATGCCGGCGTCTGCCAACAACTCGTCAGTGTCGGTCTTTCATTTCACTTCGAGGATATCCAATGCAAAGATTGCCAAATACAAGTCGGCCACGGAGAGAGGCATGGCGCACTCGAGCACCAGGAACTCTAAATCAAGACTTCGACGCGCTGCATCCCCTAAGAGCAATGGCTCTGATCTCACCGAGGACAGCCCACGGCCCAGTCACGAGTCGCCATCTGTCGAGCCACCGCCAGCAAAGAAGCCAAGACTGAAACTTAATGTTCGCTCTCCCAAACCAAAGCAAGACAATGGTGATACTATCGCTGTGTCGCGCCCACGACGCGAAACTCGAAAACGCTACTCGGAACCACTTGACGATATAGACGTGGAAATGACTGAAGATACACCTGAAATTGAGTCTGGAAAAGCTGCGTCACCGGCACCATCATCTGGCTTGTCTTCGCTGTCCTCAGCGCCACCCACTCCACCTCGAGAAGAGTCGCCCTTGAAAGACGAAAGCCCCCCAGGATCAGCTGCCCGAGCTGATTATGGCGATTTCATGTCCTACTACATCGCAGGCGGCGACGAAGAAAGCGAAAATGAGAAATCACAGGCAGCGCCCAAAGGAAAGCGCAAATCCAAGTCACAAGCCAAGCCAAAAGTGGAGACTGCCAAGACTTCAAAGGCCCTGAAGCAGCTTTCACGATCATCAACTGAGGCAACACCACAGAACGCGACACCAGTTCATCAAACTCCCTCAGTCAGACATCCACAACCTCAACAGCAGCCCGTCGTTGAACAAGCGCCAAATGCCAATAATCAGCGAGTGTCTTCTCACCAGGTTCAAAATGGTCCTAGTCAAACACAGAATGTTCCGAGCGCACCTCCGCGCTATCCCCAAGGACCACCGCCGCCAGGAATGCAACGTCCACCGCCATTGCCGCTGCCTAACCCACCACCGCCAATGCCACAGCCAGTCATTCATTTCATCGATATAACTCATGATCCTAAGCCAAGCAAGCCTGACACTATCGCAGATATGATCCACAAGCTAGAGACCCTGTCATCAGCCCTTACAAACTTTGGCGGCGTACCGGCTGTTCCTGCCACACCACCGCCAGACGGCAAACCTGCGCCGCCCAGCAAGGCTCGAGCAAAGAAGCAGACAGCACCTCAGGCCGGCGACCAAATCGATGGCTTTCTATCTTTGTTCGGTGCTGACGATGATGAGGATGACTCTGAGAGTAGTGCAGCAGAGGATGCGGAAGAGCAGCAAGGAGAGAACGTGAATGACCAGCAAAAGAACCCAGGTGATCCCGATGGCCCATTGACATATGGAATTCAGTTCATCCAGAACGCTCTCAAGTCGTGGGCCCAGCAGCGAACGACACATCAGATTACACATCAGCTTCAGATGCAACATAACCAGGCTCTTTCAGAGTATTACAACAATCAACAACAGAGAGGACCAGGACGTCCTAGGAAATTTGTCGAGCCACTGCCCGGTCAGCCTGGCGGCCCGAGGCCAATCCTGCAGATGGACTTGGCTGATACCCCAGAAGGCGTCGCTATCAAAGCGTTCCAGCGAGTTCTCGATTCTGGCTGTTTACAGGTCAATGCCCGGTTGCATGCGGGCCTTAGTCGTGCGTTGCGGCATCTGTACATGCAGATCGATCATTTGATCAACCAAGGAAGCAAGGAGAATAGCAGTTGGCAGTGTATGTCGTATAGTGCGCAGCTATCCGCACACAGGTTCCGAGTGGAACAGGTCAGGCGGGCAAACGCGAAAGCACAGGAGCAGCAGCAGCAGCTGGCTGCGCAGATGTTGCCAGGCCAGCAGACGACGAATCCGCCGCATTCACAAGCCCAGCAACTGAATGCGATTGAGCTCGAGCGACGTAGAAGCATGCAACACGCCCAACAACAGCCCTACATCGCTGCACAGCACCTGAATCCATTGCAGCTAAATGGCTCCCCTCCAGCAACGCCAGCCGGACCTTCTCCATCACCCGCTCCAGGCGGCATGCCTCAAGTCCATGCAGCAGGTCAGTCTATGCAAAACGGCGCGACTGCTGGACCTGCAAATGCTGGTGTGCAACTTACGAAGATGAAAATGTATGTGCCAGGCTTCTTGCCTCGGTCTGGTCAGTCCATGAAGTTCTCTTTCGCGCCACACAGCGAGGCTGCCGTTCAGGCATTCGGATCTGAGGCCTTCCCGGTGGAACAGGCACCAGGACCTCAAATGCCGAACAGAGGACCAATGCAGCCTGTGCGCACAAACAATCTCAGACCGGCCTCCAATGGCACATCTATGTCAGATCCACAACCTACCACAATTGACTTGACCTCTGATGGACCTGAGCATGCTTCCAGTCAGCCAGCGCATGCTCAAGTTCACGTGCCGGTATTGAAGACTGGCTCGGGTTTCACTGCTGTCAACAAGCCACCTCCAGCTTCAGCAGTCTCACGTTCAACTTCCCTCCCGAACGGATCGGCAAAGGAAGCATCGCCAGAGACTATTAGAGTCGCGCGCAAGCACTCTTCAGGTGCTGCATCTGCTTCGGCCTCGCCGGCGCTTGGTAATGGTTCTTCTAGGTTGGCAGCTAGAATGCCGCATCCAGGAGCCATTGTTGAGGACAAGTAGGAATAGTCCTCTACACATGGAGGAAGGCGTCAAAGAGCCAGGAAGGCATCACTCGGAAAGATTTCCGCCTCTCGGCTCACCTGCAATGAGCATAGTTGAGAGGCAGATGTCATGCAATACGAGCTCAGGTTCAGGCATTCAAGATTGCGAGTAGCAAAAGCGTTCGACTTGGAGAGACCGGCTTGTCGCAGTAGCAGGCGGAAGAGCGAGATGGAGAAAAGGCTAGTGGTACATTGACAGCGGCCATGGCAGACGATCGAGCAGGATGTAGGACGAGAAGCTGGGTGAGATCTGTTCAGCTTGATACTAGCCTCACTTCTCGTTGACGTTTGCATTTGGACTGATTTGTATCATTCGTTTGATTGTGGATCCCGGACGAGTGCAACAGCCAGTGCGATCAGTCGAGTTGATCGCTGGATTTGTATGACTAGAGAGCAGAGTAGAGAGTGTGCGATTAATGAGGAAGTCGTTTATAACGCTCGTCATTAGCTCTCCCGGACGAGTGCAACAGCCAATACGATCAGTCGAGGAGGTCACCACAATCTGGCGTGGAACGAAGTCGTTGAGTGTTTTTCGGCGCTGTGTTCGTTTTAACATCCAAAGAATGGTCACATGAGTGTTGTTCCCATGTCTGCACAGCCTCATCGACGAGCACTAGCGCGGAGGCACATCGAAGGTAGATCGTGAGCGGCGAGCGCGAGAGGATGTTGGACAAGCTTTGGACCGCTGCTCTCGAAAACGACACCGACGTCATCGCACCAGGAACGCGGCTTTCTTTGTGTAAACATGCAAGCCACAGCTGGTGATGAGCGTAAGAATGAGAAGGCGGATGTAGGATTGCACCATCGATAGCCTTCGCCATGTCGTTCACCAAGGAAAGTCGGGTGTTTGCTGGAAAGTAGTCCACCGCCAGGCCAGCTCGCTCCCTGGCAACGGAACGCTGAAGTCTAGTAAGTTGGCCAGGGTTACGCCGGGGTGGTGTTGATCTGACAAGAAGCACGGCGCGGCCTTGGGCTCGTTCACAAGACATGCCGTCATGCTTAGCTTTCCGCCCGCGCTCTTCCTGAATGCTGATATGTATACCTTTCTCCTCGCCATTGTTGCGAGCCCCTGCACAAGTCTCTCGGAGCTATCAACACTGAACCAATATCCATTGACCACACACATCACTACGCCGCTCGCCCAACATGCATCGCACTTATTCCATGCGCCAGTCTCGCGCGCCCACCGCGTCGCAGATTCAGAACCCGCCACCACCGTCGTCGTCGACGAAGGGCGGTCGTCTCTTTGGAAAGGCCAATATCGGTAAGCGATCGCGACTTCAGACGTGCTCATGCATGCATGGAGTATTTGAATCTGACTGTTGCATGCAGGCCACACATTCCGCAAGTCGGTTCATCCAGGGGCCTTCGGTCCAGATCTCGCAAAGAAGCTTTCGCAGCTCGTGAAGATGGAGAAAAACGTCATGCGATCCATGGAGCTTGTCGGCAGGGAGCGCATGGAGGTTGCACAACAACTCTCCATCTGGGGTGAAGGCTGTGACGATGATGTCTCAGATGTCACCGACAAGCTTGGAGTTCTCATCTACGAGATTGGTGAACTCGAAGACCAATTCGTCGACCGATACGATCAGTACCGTGTTACCATGAAAAGCATTCGAAACATCGAGGCTTCCGTCCAGCCAAGCAGAGACCGCAAGCAGAAGATCACCGACCAGATCGCACAGCTCAAGTACAAGGAGCCAAACAGCCCGAAGATCGTCGTTCTTGAGCAAGAACTCGTCCGCGCTGAGGCAGAGTCTCTCGTTGCTGAGGCCCAGCTATCCAACATCACCCGCGAGAAGCTGAAGGCTGCTTTCACTTACCAGTTTGACGCGCTTCGTGAGCACAGCGAGAAGTTGGCCATCATCGCCGGCTACGGCAAGCACTTGCTCGAGTTGGTTGATGACACTCCAGTCACTCCTGGCGAGACTCGCAACGCATACGACGGCTACGAGGCTTCCAAGGCCATCATCCAAGACTGCGAAGATGCCCTCACCAACTGGGTCGAGCAGAACGCTGCTGTCAAGCCCAGCTTGTCCACCCGGGCACGCACCCTGTCTCAGCGCCGCCGCAACAAGGCACAAGGTGTCGACCTTGCCGACCAAGATCAAGACCGTGAGTCTGGTTTGTGGGTCTCGGCTGACCAGCATGCTGGACAAGAGTACGAGGAGGATGAGTCCGTCCGCGGGCGGGATGAAGAGCGCGCGGTCGCTGCATAAACAGCGAGGAATTTGGTTCTGAGGAAAAGGTTTGAAGCTTTATACCCGAGGGAGCGAAGCGCGGTCATAACTGTACGAGCAAATTCACAGCACAGACGACCTAATGAGTGTATTGATTGGTTTGGTAGTTTGGGTACATGAATAATGTTTTACTATTTGGTCAGCGTTTGAAGTCTCCACATATTCATATTCATACCGCATTACTCGGCCAGTCTTCAAAGGACTGGAAACACTCAGATGCGATTCCGACAGCACATGGGTCATCACGGGGTCCGAGATAGCGCATAGCTTGTGTGTGGTAAGTGGATCTGCGAGGGACGCAAGTGCTTGAAATATGCCCTCCTGTACTCATAATGTGCTGCATTGCTCCCCCAAAGCTAAAGAGCTCTGCTCGGCGAACCTTTGCCCGCAGCTGCCGGGTTGGAAAATTGTCCACCGAGCTCGGCGTCAGTGATAACAACCTCACGAAAGCAAGTTGTTGACTGTGATGTAGTTTCCTTATTACAGCACAATAGCAGTGTCTCACGACGATCTCTCTATCAACTGCAGGTCTCGAGAAGGAATTCGGTGAAGACCAAGAACTGGAAATCGACAAATACAACCTGCCCAGTATGAATGGTCACTCTCAGAGCAAAGTGCCTCCAGCTGGCATCTGGGCACCTGCTGTAACATTCTTCGACCACCAGACAGACGAACTGGATATTGAATCACAAAAGAAATACTATGCGTATCTCTCAAAATATCTTACCGGGCTGGTCATCCTTGGAACCAATGCCGAGACATTCATGCTTACCAGAGACGAGCGTGCGACACTTCTGAAGACCGCAAGAGAAGCTGTTGGCCCAGACTACCCTATTATGGCCGGAGTTGGCGGTCACAGCACGAAGCAAGTGCTCGAATTCATCGGCGATGCAGCGGCTGCGAAAGCAGACTATGTCCTTGTCTTGCCTTGTGCATACTTCGGCAAGCAGACAACTGCTAAAGTGATCACGAACTTCTACGATGAAATTGCTCAGAAGAGGTATGTTCACCATTCATTGACCGAGTTTATTAGCCCTGGCTGACGTCCATGCCAGCCCTCTTCCAATTGTCATCTATAATTTCCCTGGAGTCTGCAACGGAATCGATATCGACTCCGACGTTATGACTGATCTTGCGGACCGACATTCCAACATCGTAGGAACGAAACTCACCTGTGCCTCAGTCGGCAAGATCACACGTCTGGCAGCAACGTTTCCAGAGACACGGTTCGCTACTTATGGAGGACAATCCGATTTCTTGCTGGGAGGTCTTGCAGTTGGCTCAGCAGGTTGCATAGCAGCATTTGCAAATATCTTCCCGCGAACTTTACGCCATATCTACGACCTTTACAAGTCTGGCAAGACCGATGAGGCTTTGAAGTTACACAGGATCGCGGCTATCGCTGAGAGTTTCAGCAAAGCCGGCATTGCGAATACCAAGTATGCCGCTAGCTTGACGAGCGCCCAGTATGCCGGCATTGAGGGTGCTACCGAGAAGCTGAGGCCCAGGAGGCCTTATGAGGAGCCATCGGAGGCTGTGAAGAAGGATATTCAGAGTAAGATTGTGGAAATGGTCAAGATTGAGGAGTCGCTGTAGGTTACAGGCCTCGAATCAGACCTAGATCTTACCAGCAATTTGGCTGCCACATACGTGCACTCTCCATGCAGATGTTGTTGCTCACTGGAGGACGTCGAGGGTGTTTTCTAATCGTGAGCTTTGACCAGCATGGAGCCGGCGAGAAAACGCCGCGCAGGTCGTTGAGCCAAGTGCCTCATCGTCCTTGCCAAGAGTTGCAACTCATCCTTCCATTTCGGAGCTCTCAGATCGCGGACTCGCACAATCACGATGCGCTGAAACACAGTCTTTTCGCCTGTGGGCTTCTTCTTCAGCAATGTGTCTTCTCGTCACTCGTCGCAATGCTTCTACCACAGATACGGCCGAAGACCTTGATCAACTTCGCACTCCTTCTTGTACCCGTCGTCTACTTCTCCTTGGTACACATTGCTCCTGCAGTCCGTAACCAAATTTGGGAATGGCAAGAATGGAACTCGCCCAATCGCTACATTAGATTGTCCGAGTATCCGTACAGATACGATCGAGACATCACCACGAACCTAGTCATCGCTTCAACGAAGAAAGATGATATCTCCTGGACAGAGCACCTCCGCGTACCGGGTCTCAATGTCGTTCGCTATGTTAGCGATGATCCGTCTGCAAAGTTCCATCCTCCGGTCGCGAAAGGCCGCGAAGCCTTGATGTACTTTACCTATCTCTACGACTTTTACGACAATCTTCCCGATATCAGCATTTTTATTCACTTCCACGAAAGCGAATGGCACATCGACAGCCCTTTGAAAGGCTCTATGATCTTTACACTTTCAAGATTAGACCTTGAGCAAGTCTTGAAGAGAGAATACTTCAATCTAAGGGTGAGCTGGAAAGATGCTTGTCCCGATTGGATAAACACTACAAATACGGTAGAAGAGACGACGAAACAAGAAGAGCCGTGGGTAGCGCCTGCCATGCGAGCGAACTTTGGAAATGATGTCCAGGTTCCAGAGATAATCGCGGGACCATGCTGCTCGCAATTTGCCGTGACACGCGAAGCGATTCGGAGGAACCCGAAAGAGCAGTATAAAAGACATATGGACTGGCTGATCGAGACGGACTGGCCAGACTGCATAACAGGTCGCGTTTGGGAACATATGTGGCCTTGGCTGTTCAAAGGCGAGGCTAAGGACTGTACAATCGAATGGAAAGCCCTGTGTCAGATGTATGGAATATGTTTTGAGAGCGCAGCGGCTCTGCAGAAATACGAGATAGTGTGGGAAAACCGAAAGAGTTTGAGGGAAGCGACATCATTCTTTAATGAGCTGTGGTTACCTAGTGCCGGGAAAAGCGCGAGAAGAAAGATCAGGAACTTTGAGGGGTTCATGGATAGGAAGATCGATGAAGCTATAGAGAGAGGGAAGGATCCTGCGGTGAGGCGCGACGGCCTCGGAGACATGTATACCGACCATTAGGGACGATTGCTGATCAGCTTCGTTGTGTGATGGCCGACATGCGCTGTGTGTTGCTGGCCGCAGATTTCCCCAGGTCACCCACCTCACAGCATCTAGTCCAGATCCTCCAAGCCCAAGGCAATTCTACGTGCATGGCGCCAAGGCATCAAAGTGCGGTTCCTCTGCAAGAGAGAGAGAGGTCGCACGAGCTCCATGTCGTGGCTCGCTACCCTCATAGTCCCAAGATGCATTGTGGATTGTGATTCGATTTTCCCCAAGTGCGGAAGTCCTTGGAGTGAGTCCATCTGAATCGAACCTGAATATCGATATTCTGCCAAAACATCAGAAACAGCCCAAAAATTCCTAGCTGCATAATATAATATTCGTACTCACCTTCTCGAATACATCCAATATCAAATCACTCTCAGCCTTATCGAGACCAACGATTCGCTTCGTCTTGGAAAGCTCGATTCACCCAGAGTGCTTTCCAACCTGTAGCAGGATGAATTCTGTCTCACCCAGGGATGACCTCGCTCGATATGTTTAGTGAGGAAGAGCTTGTAGTGCTAAGAGAAATGAATTATTCGGTCACCCGTCAAGCTTCTGCATTTCTAAGCATATTCTCGTGATAGATAGCTTCACTCACGACAAGCCTACATGGCGACAGATGCACTGGCTCATGGCCCATACCTAAGAGCGCGCAAATCGGAGCTGCCAGTCATGATGTGTCGCATGGTGAGGATTAAACAAGCATCCTGATGCAGCACAGCTCAGCATCCTCGCAGCAAGCCCAATGCTTGTCCGACTTCAGGACCATGGTGGTGTATATTGGGTATTTCTTGAGGACTAGGCCGAAATCTATTGGTTACATTGTCGAAAGATAGCATTTATGCTTCTAATCACTCTTTCGAGCCTGCACCACCAGACCAAGCATCTTGGACGGGTCGAATCGAGCGGATTGAACTGATGATGGGATTGACCGCAGTCTAAGGGACCTCAACGTGGACTTGCTGCGATCGCCTATTCGATAGAAGTCCTGCAAATCAGTCTTCTTTCAACGAATGAGGTCGAGATTTGGGATTGCATCCCTACCAGTCGATCGGCGAATACGCTAGCAAGTCAGACCGCACCTCAAGTCGAAGGTCTACCTTTCCAGAATGGTTCGTGGACTCAGAGAAACTAGCCTTGCTTCACAGTTTTCATGAGTATTGTGCAATGGAGCATAGCATAACCTCCAGCCTTTTCACATCTTCGCTCCATGCAAATTTTTCCACCAACGCCGAGCGCCAACGCTTTCAAACAAACACAGAGCAGCTTTCGCCGCATCAACATCCCGCAGACTCAACCATCCACATCCATCTCTTCCACACCGACGCCGACCACCAATCTCCGCTTCTTCTTCTGCTTCAGAGCGCTCTTCGCCGGCTGGAGTCGTTCTTGCTCCTCGAGCGGGATCTCCTCCTCCATCGCCTCCACTTCCGCCTTCATAGGCTCCACAACCTCCTTCATGACCTGCTCGACCTGATCTCTGTACTGAAGCGGGAGCAAGTGCTGGTTCTCAGCCACAAGCTTCCTGTCTGCTTCGAGCTGCAGCTCCTTGTTGCCCTTCATGCGGTTCTTGTAGAACTGTCTCTCACGTCTTGCTCTGATCTCCGATATTCTCTGCATGGCCTCCAGGGTCTTGGCCACCATATTGCGGTTGTAGCGAACTGGGATATTGCGGCGTTGTGCGAAGGCGAGCGTGGAGTCGACCGTCATTTCTTTGCCGTGTGCGCGGCGGAAGGATTTGGTCCATGCCAGCTTGCGTGGGTTTCGCTTCATCTTGAACTACAATCAACATGTCAGATTTTCATATCCATGGACTGGGAGCTGGGCGAAATCATGTCGTAATGTCTGAACATACGTTTTTGTGGCATTTCGAGCGGCAAAAATTGAAGACTTTGGCATCGTTCCGCACGAAGGTGATACCCTTGGACGGGTAGACCGGCTGCGAGCAGAAGTAGCACGTTTCGATCCTCATCGCGGGAGTGGTGATCGGTGGCAGTGGTGGTGATGCTGGAGGCGGAGGCGATATCGATTGGAAATTTTGGCCAAGCAAGGTCGGGTCGGGTCGGGAAAATGACTGATGTGTGACCAAGCCAAAATCCGATCTGCGGCAGAGACTTGACCTCTGCTCACGCTTCGTCCATCTCATACACAGCAGCGACTGTAGACATTTTGGATCACAAATCATCACACTGGAGTCGCCCGAAACATCTCCAAAGCCGCGTAGCAGCATGGCCACCGTCCTGGCCGTTGGCGTTGGAGTCGCCGCAGCAGCTTTCTTCGTACGGCTTCCGCTTCTCCTACCACTTCACCGAAATCATTCTCAGTCGCTAACAATATATCACAGGGCCGCGCCGGTCTCGTCGCTCTTCGAAGATCTCGTGGTGGAATCAACGCAATAGGAAAGGCATACTACAAAGGTGGATTTGAGAAGCAGATGAACCGAAGAGAAGCGGCACTCATACTGGAGACATCGTGCGTGCTGTGAGCTGGGCAGGACGTTGTGGGATGGTTTACTGACTTCGCTGATTGATAGTGAACGCGGAGCGACGAAAGAAATAATTCGCAAGAAGCATCGACAGATGATGCTTCTGAACCATCCCGATCGCGGAGGTAGTCCATATCTGGCTACAAAGATTAATGAAGCCAAGGAGTTCTTGGAAAAGGGTGCTTCATGATGGCAGTATGAATTGAGAACTGTAGGATGTGGCACGATGATCTCAGATGGACAGTGAAAAAGGTGGCTCAGCGCGGCGTTGGTGTTGGTGGGCACTGCATTTGCATCTGTACAGTGGGTTGACTGATATGAGATCGCCTCTCTTGAACAATGGAGATCTCCCTGGTACGCCAGATATTGACCAGCTGATTCTTGCCCTACAGATGGCTCCACCACTTGGGCGTCTAAACACCCGGTCTGCTCTAATGCTGGGGTCTCGTATACTGATTGCAGATTCACAGCGTCAAGCAGCTGCACTACCTGGGTTTTCTGCCCCTTGACTGAACGCCACTCCGCCAGGAAGCTCGACAGGAAAGCACTGGCTGCCACCGCTACTGCCATGATGTACGTCCGGACAATCACTCGATTGTATGCTTCAACTACGGCTGGCAGCACGTCCGCAGAAGCCACTTGTCGTATGTGCGTTGCTCCAGCACCGTTCACGACATCGAAACATACGGTGACCATGGAATGAAAATTATGAAATGCATCTGCTTCAGCCTTCCGGAAGGCGGCTTCCCCGTTTCTGGCATTCCAGGTCGAAGCAATCAGCTTCTAGGCATGTTGCAATACTACAACATCATTCTAGGTTGGAGAATTGTTCGACCGCAGCTCTGGGACACTTATTAACGCGTGGCGTACAAGGCGACAGGTACACAAGCATAAGATGGACGAATCAGCGAAAATTTCATGCAATTTTGACAAGCATAATAAGCACTCTACATCTAGAAACCACTTCGTTTAACCTCGATAAACCTGCATCGTTCATACAAGCAAAGAAAACAACCCAGAAGCATCGAATGAACTGCCCTCGCGTCTTCAACGGCGAATGACCTTCTTACGCCCACCTCCCGTTCTCGACTGCAGACCTGAGCGTGGAATGGCTGGTGGCTCGACTTCGTAGCAATGAGTGCAATCCTTCTCCATCTTGACTGTGGCCCAAATATCGCCTCTGCCGCAAGGTTTCTGGACGAGAGCAGCTTGCGGACAAAACGCGGCGAAGACGGTCTTCACATGACCGCAGGGATGCGAGTGGGCGTAGTATTTGCACATGTTGATGACAGGAAGCTGGCCCGGGATCGAAGAGGAGGAAGAGTCGCCTTGGATTGTGGATCTTCCGAATTGACGCTTCTGAACGACTTTCGTCGACGATTTGTGCCTGATGGCTGTTAGCATTTCATCGCTGGTTGTTCCCAGAGGGAAGGCGAGTCGATACGAACCTCGCAGATGCGGAAGGATTAGCGTGCCTTGTGGGAGGGTGCCTGTGGTGATGCCGTTTTGGGGTGTGCGTGAGGTCGTTCAGGATCGCTGTGCCGGTAAAGTTCGATTTGTCTTCGGTGCTGATGTTGCTGATGTTGTTGCTGAGAATTCAAAGCATGGCGGTACGACGACCATACTTGTATTCAGATGAGCCAGCGCTTCTCGATAGGTGACTTGACGACAAGGCCAAAATCGATTCCCATCATGGCCTCTGCAACGGCAAGTTGATGTTGCACTGATTGTCTCCAGCTGTACAATGTCATGCATGGTTGACAGATGCCTTTGTTCAAGTGTGCAACGTAGTGCCCCGAAGTCGATGGACCATGTTCACGTCCATTTGCAAGGCTAAGGTCTAGCCAAACTGCATGCCAAAGTCTGTGATCCAAGACGACGGGTCTCCAGTGTAGGTCGTGTAGCGCATGTTAGATCGTACCTGCTGGGCAAACATGCAAGAAAGCCGGAAGCATGCAGAAGGAAGTCGGAAAGGTGGCAGCCGGAAGGTGGGACATCTGGTCGCGGGTCAACAGCACGACTCGAATGGCGGTAGGCTACCTATTTGTCGTCGATAAGGCTGAGGGTTCCTGCGGCTAAGCTGACAGGGCTGAGGCTAGCCGCATATTTGTCGTTACAGGGCTGACAATGATGTGCCCGGGTGACAAATGGCGGCAGGCCGAGTGGTAAAACGGTAAGGAGCACATGTCAACTGTCAGAGCCGCGCAGGCGGGAACACTGTGAGTCTGTGACGAGCGAAAGGATGAGCAATGCGCAATTCGGCATGCGCGCCGCTGTTCCGATGGTCAATGCGGCGCACGATTTTAAAAGTCTTCAATACCTTATGGCATAACAGTTGTTTCACGTTTTCGGTATCGATATGTTGGCACAACGTCAGGCTCGCAGCTGCAGGCTTGGAGCATGTCGTGAATGTGGGAGCAGTGGTGTGAGGGTGAGTGACGGCTGGCCAAACAACAATTGCACGCCGGAAATAACGCCGAGCAGCAAACGAGTCTGACGAGACTCTTCGTGGCGGGCAACACGTGATCTGTGGGAAAAAGAGACCAATCAGATCTTGTGCTCACCGACTTTTCGAGTCGTCTGAGGATATCAAAGTATTATTATTAGTATAGATGCTAGCTGACAGGCCGTCTCCTGTTAGAGTGCATGTGAGCAATCATAGTGCGGAGGATTGCTTGGGAGCTCCATGTAGCCCAGTCAGTCTGTTTCGAGCAGCTCGAAAACGTTGCCGGCGGTCGTGCGAGACTTCTGCAGCCGACGTCTCGCGTACAACATCTCTCTTTACGCCGTACAATGTGCCTCGGCATCTGCATCGGGTAAGGCAAGAGTGGGTGTGCGTAGTAGGGCAGGAGGGGTCGTGTGTCGGAGAACAGAAGATGGGAGGTGGAAGGATTTATCCTGGATGTCAGGTGTTTTAGCTGAACCTAGAGCGGAGTTAGGGGCACAGTCTTTTACTAGCGTTTACTAGGCAATAAGCCACCCGCAATCCTCTGGTTTAGTGGCGTTTGGAACCACTCGGCGTGGTAACGATTTGGGTTAAGAAGGGCGCCTCTCTCGAGCCTACCGGTTAACTATTATAGAAGCGGCAATTTTGTAGTAGACGAGACTATTATATAGACTAAGAGTTGTTATTATAGAATTGCTATAGAATTACCGCCTTCTACGACTATAGCGGAAGGCTTGCCCTCGCTAATTACTATCTCTTCGACCTCGTTATTATTATTGCTTAGTACGTAGTCTACGAGTTGTTATTAACTTACTACTACTACTAGCGGTTAACTAGCGGTTACTATATATCCTTACGCCTCTTAATTCTCGTCTAATTCGCTCGTTACTAGGTAAGTTATTAGCGGCGTCGTTTTCTAAGTCGTCTATTATCTAGCTAGTTAGTCGCCTAGCCGCTCGTTTGTAATCCTCGTCTCTTATATAGCTTATTATCGTATCTATAGTGTCCTAGTCTACGTTATAGAAGATAAGAAGCTCCTTAAAGGACGAGAGGCCGGAATCGGTAAAGCAACGGTCGTCTATAGTAATACCGTTAATCTCGCGAATACTATATATAAAGACCTATAATAGCTTACCCTAATACTAGTAGTTAGTTAAATAGTAAGTACCTAGCGGCGTAGGTAGACCTCGCACTAGCGGTATTGTATCTCCTATTAAATCTACCTCTTCTATATTATCTAAATTAAGCGGTTATAAGGACTGTGTTTCTAGTACTATCTCGCGGCGCGGAATTAGCCTTAGAGTAAGGTTACCTAGCGGCGGAGGTAATAAGAACATAGGTTAGCGAATAGGTAACGATTGAACGCGCTGTTTTAATAGTAACGGTCGGAGGGTTATATTAGTATAGACGTAATAAGTTTCCGGCGTGCCTAGCGGTAGCAATCGAGTTAGTGTAGTAGGTTTAGAAGGTAGTTAAGTCGTCTATTAGCGCTTAGTCTCGCCTATAAATTAGACCTCCTATAGATTAGCGATAAAATGGTCAATATTTAGTACGTAACAACTGTCCGAGAAGTCCTTAACCTTCTATACGTAGAAGGCATAGAATAAGTCCTTAATAGAAGGGTTAATAGAAGGATTATCTGCTATCTGCTAATACTTCAAATTTAGTGTTTCTACCGCTTCCTTAAAGTAGCTTCGAAGGTCTCTTAATTGTAGTGTCTATGCTAAGGTAATAGCGTCTTCTTAATAGCCTTCGATAACGAGTTATTAAGTATCGAGAGCGCGCTAGTATTCGTAAGCTAAGACAACGTTAAGGCCTGCAAATAGCTAGACATATTGTCGCTGTTATATATTACTAATTTCTAGTCTATTAAATAGGTAGTTACGAAGAATGTAGTAGCAAGGAAGGCGTGTTTGAAACTAGGCGAGGCAGTTATAACGAGAAGGTGTTATACCGTTATAACTGCATAGTATGCCCTTATATATAGGTGCCGCCTTAGCCTCTATCTTAATAGCAATATCTACCTATTCTCGAAGGCGATCTTAAGCCGCTAGTAGCTGCAGACTCTCGAAGCCTAGAAGTCGCTTTTTGTACTAATATTGTGTGCGTTTGCCGATCCTATAGCTAGCTAGTTGTGCCTTGTAAGCCTGCCTGTCGTCTACCTTAAGAACCTCGAGGATAGTGCTATAGAGATTGTAGCGTACGAGGCTGCGCTTACGCTCAAACTTAATAGCGTAGTAATAACCCTTAAGAGGCGAAGTAGTCCTTATTTGCATTAATAATAGGCTATAAAGCCTTGCCTAAGTAGCCCATTTCCGTAACGTATAACTAGCCTAATTGTGCCGTATGTATTCTACCTTACTTTGCTATTCTATAGGCTTGTTCTCTTTTAACTAGTCCTATATCTATGCTATATCGTTACCGACGTCGGCGGAGCTTCGAGCGTAGTAGATCGAGTAGTAAAAGCGCTTAACAATCTCTGGAAATTAGGCCTCTAGAAATAACCGAAGGAAGGTCTCTTTAACGTGCCGCTAGTAGAGGTAAATAAGCACCTGTTTCTTATCCTTCTAGGATAGGTTAATTGCCGCCTGCTTAGAGGCCGAGTCGTCGATTATAGCGGCTATAGCATTCTAGTATAGTAACTAATTCTTAATAACTCGAAGACCGGCTTCTACTAGCTTAGCTTTCTAAGATTCTAGCAATAAGTGTCCTGCTAGCAACTAACACCCTAACTAGTTACGAACATAGATAGTAAAAAGGTTCTAGCTAAGGTCGGTAGTCTTATAAGTTGCGTCTAGCAAGAACAACTATATAGTATGTAAGTTAGTAATGTTTTGAATTTTTGAAGTTAGTTATAGGAACTATAGAACGCAAGCCTTAGAAGCTTAGTTATGCGCCTTCTATAGTAATAACAATACCTGCACTTATATCCCCTACCTCGGTATTCAACAACTGTCGCTACTACTTAGTCTGGAAGACAATGCTACGCTCCACCTTGCCCTTTATTTTCTTCTCTATTATCTAATACTAGAGCGGCCTGCTATCTAGGTCGTTATAGAGGCCTTAGAGGGCGATAGGAAGGTCGTCTAGCTAGATACTCGCATTTCTACGGTCGTTACTACGCACCTTCCTTAGATTAGGCCTAACCTTCGACTACGCAATAGTGCCTACCTTTATATATTGCCTACCTATCTTGCTAAACTCGTCCTTCGAAGGACTATTTCTAACGAAATCTAGCACCTCGGCTATATTAAATTTGCGCTGTTCTATTAGCTCCTCGAGAAACACCCTTAGAGCGTTGTTTAACGACCTAATATCTATATATCTTAGGTTATAGCAATATAGGTCCTTACTAACTGCGGAAGGGTCGACTCGATAGCGGCGGACACTAATTTCGTATAGTTTAGTCGCCCTCTTCTAATAATACGATATAACGACTACTATAGCATTATAAGGCTCTTTATTGTATTTAGCCTTGCGAATACTATCTAGAAGTACCCTGTTTCGCTACTAATCGCGCCTATAACGACAATACTAGTACGACCGCTGCTCTAAGCTATCCTTCGTTCTCGCCGACCTCGACTCCTTATATACATTGCTTACGTAGGCCTTTAACACCTCGAAACGGTCCGGATCGTACGTCAATCTATACTCTAGTATATTAAATAGCTGTTCTCGAATCTCGATTACATTATGTAGTATGCGATCCGGCCTAAACGGCGGCACTAGTTTAGACAAGATAGGTAGCATAGCGATAAGAATAATAGTAACAATAATATAATAATAAGAAAATACTATTTGCGCCTTTGTAGAAAGAGCTAGATCTATATATAAGAAAGAGCTATAGAGATAAGGTTAGAACTAGAAGTATAACCGAGAAGGTTATTATAGTACTAAAAGAGGAAAAGCACCGTTAAATACTAGGCAAACTATACTAAGTCAATAGATAACGCCCTCCGGAAGTAAACTACTGTTTATAACAGTAGTATGCTAAATTTCCTAATATGCAAGACAACCTAGTAGAAGCAGCGGTACGGTAGTACGTAGTCGGTAGTCGGTAGTCGGCAGTCGCGAGTGTCCTCGGTAGGGTTGTGCCTCTTGTTCTATATACAATGTCTATAAGCTTATAACTACGGTAATTACCGTAGAGCTAATATAGGCCTACTATGTCTACCTATTATAATACTAATATAATCTATAGGTAATAGCTTAGCTATATAATAAGGGGTTAGCTACTAGCTATAAGGTTAGCTTTAAATACTAAAGTATAAAGGAATAAGATAGACGAGTAGACAACTATCGATTATAGAGTTTAACT